CATTTAGAGAGGCCCCGCTACAGGAACGTCTCCGTAACTTGATGTCTGTATTGTCCAACCTCGGCTTTCTCCGATCACAATATCTCGATACTTGACAACTGCATACATAACAGTGGACTGACGGCTATGTGCATCTACAGACGTGATGACGTGGCCTCCAATGATTTGTGCATCATGCGAGATGTACATTGAGAACTACTTGATTTCTTGTTGGTAAGCTTTATAAAATTTATGATTATTTGCCGTTTTAAGGAAGTTCATGTCGAAGTTTAGTGCAAGGAAAGTGTAATCATTTCTTAGACTCTCAAACTTCTTGAAATATTTGGAAGAAAGTGGTCTCTTGTGATACATTTTTTTTAAGCAACATAGATGTATTACCACCAAAACACGAGACATTGGTTGAAAAACTACTCATAACTTTAGTTGGTATATAGTGGAATCAAACAACATAACCCCTGCATAGTCTGATAGTGCAACTACTTAATGCCATGCTAGCTGGCATATTTATGGTTAAAAATCTTAATGATCAGTTTGGTTTTAAGTCACTACAATGCTGTGAAAGGTCAAATGATGTCTTTCCTTGCTTTCCTGGAGGAGAAAGGTCTATGTTGCCCCTGTGTGCAGTAGTTAAGTTAAGAGCTGTCACCTGAGTAGGACTATCTACCGTCTAGCTAGCTGGATAGCTTCATTACAGGAAAAAACTCATTTATCTGAAAAGTGTGATAAAGAATTAAAATTTTCAACTTTTTGTCCTTTAAATGTATGAAATTTTCAACACATGAGTGAGACTAAAACAAGTGTTTGAGCACCACACTAAATACTGTATTCTGATATATCCTGGACCGCTTGATAGGATAAATGCTAAAATATTGCCATTTCACCAGCCTAAATGCACTTTCAGATGTCTAATTGATCTCTTTACATCAATTTATATACGATAACAAATAAAAAATGTAATAAAGGTGAAAAAGTGATATTTTGATACTTTGTTATCATGATTTCTGCAAGCGTCTTAGAGGTACTGCTCCAACACTATAGTGAGTTAAATCTATTTTCCACAGGGCATGGAGCAACAAAGAGTGACTGTACAAATGATGCGTACGATATAGCCTGGGATATTATAACAACCAGTTCCCCCGAGGATATCATGCAAAACTGCAGGAGAATTGAAGCCAGGGAGACTACAGGTATATCAGTTTTAAATAAATCATATCTTTATCCAATTTCTTTTTAGCTCACCTGTCACAAAGTGACAGGGTGAGCTTTTGTGATCGCTTTTCGTCCGGCGTCCGGCCGGCGTCCGTAAACTTTTACTTTAAATGACATCTCCTCATAAACCACTAAGCCATTTTCATCCAAACTTCACAGGATTGTTCCTTTGGTGGTCATCTTTGAAAATTGTTCAAAGAATTTAATTCCATGCAGAACTCTGGTTGCCATGGCAACCAAAAGAAAAAAACTTTAAATTTCTTCTTCTAGAAACCCAAAGAGCTAGAGCTAAGATATTTGGCATGAAACATCTTCTAGTAAGTGTCTACCAAGTTTGTTCAAATAAAAGCCCTGGGGTCAAAATTGGCCCCGCCCCAGGGGGTCATTGATTTTCCCTATATGTATATAGTAAAAACTTAATAAATCTTCTTTTAAAGAACCCAAAGAGCTAGAGCTAAGATATTTAGCATGAAACATCTTCTAATGGGTGTCTACCAAGTTTGTTCAAATAAAAGCCCTGGGGTCAAAATTAGCCCCACCCCAGGGGGTCATTGATTTTTCCTATATGCATATAGTAAAAACTTAAAAATCTTCTTTTAAAGAACCCAAAGAGCTAGAGCTAAGATATTTAGCATGAAACATGTTCTAATGGATGTCTACCAAGTTTGTTCAAATAAGAGGCCTTAGGTCAAAATTGGCCCCGCCCCAGGGAGGTCATTGATTTTCCTATATGAATATAGCAAAAAACTTAAAAATCTTCTTTTAAAGAACCCAAAGAGCTAGAGCTAAGATATTTAGGATGAAACATGTTCTAATGGATGTCTTCAAATAAGTGCCCTTGGGTCAAAATTGGCCCCGCCCCAGGGGACATTGAATTTCTTTATATGTGTATAGCAAAAACTTAAACTTCTTCGAAAAAACCTGAATAGCTAGAGTTTAGATATTTTGCATGAAACATGTTCTAGTAAGTGTCTACAAAGATTGTTCAAATAAAAGCCCTGGGGTCAAAACTGGCCCTGCCCCAGGAGTGTAATTGTTTTTAAATATAATTATGTGTAAAGAAAAAACTTAAAAAATCTTCTTTTAAAAAACCCAACGAGCTAGACCTTAGATGTTTAGCATGAAACATCTTCTAATGGGTGTTTACCAAGTTTGTTCAAATAAAAACCCTGGAGTTTAAACTGGCCCTGCTCCGTGGGGCCTATATACAGGTGAGCCACTTTAGGGCCATCATGGCCCTCTTGTTCTAAGTTGGCAGGCCTTGAAGATTTTTTAGGGTTACTCACCCTGCAGGGAGAGTGACCTTACAAATTTACTGGCCCTTCACAAAATATATTTGCCCTGCATTTTGATTGACAAAAATAGTTAAATTCAAAAACACTGGATTCAAATTTACTATTTAGCTAACTGTATCAGTTAATTCTATGAAATCATAGTTCTTAATAAACTGAAATTTATTTTGCAAAAGCAAAAAACAATTTGCAGTCGAATTGGATTTCTACCCATTACATTTACAATAAATCTGTCATTTTCCTTTAATTAAGTGAAGCCTTAAAAAGTGCTTAAATTTGAGTCCCTTTAGTTGCTACTAGCATGCAGATAGTCAACATAAATATCATAATTTGTTGTAATTGGCACAAAAGCTGGTTAGGTTTTTGGTTAGGTTGGAAAAGCTGATACAGTTTTTTGGTTATGTCGGAAAAGCTGGTAAGGTGCACTGACTGCCAAGATATTACCAAGTAACGTGTTAAAATTGGCATAAAAACCAGAAAAAAAGTATCAAACCCTGGCTTAGAATAAAGCAAGTTGACGGGGCCTGTTTTTAGGAATCATGGTCACCAGCTTACAAGCATGTAAGCACTTGCACTTTAAAACACCTAGCTAAAGGATCAGTCCACTGAAGTACTTGTAAGAAGTTATTCTTGTTGTAATTAAGGTGGATGCACGCAGGTACATTATAATATCTTGTTAATTTTGAAATATTGCAGGTCCTACAGTACTTGATGTGATTGTTAAAGGAGAGAAGGGTTCTAACAGTGAATCTAACATTGCTCAGCTACGTCGTCACGGTTATGATCCGAACGACACATCTCGGGCAATCGGAGATCTCGTTATTGTAGAAGCTGGTAGCTGGTTTGAGGACAGACGGCAGTTTGCATTTGCTATCCTCCAGAATTCAGCATTACATAATGGCATGTTATTACAATGGAGTTTTACAGGCATAAAGGCACATGGTCAAAAGAACTACAAGAATGAACTTAGACCACTTGGAAAGTATAGGTAAGATGTTCATCTTGGACAATGAGAAAGAGGAGTTACTCTCCATGTGTCAGTCGTTCTTTTGTGTCAATTTTTGTCATTGTAACTGAAATTCCCATATCGTCTTGACACTGCTTGTCTGTTCATCCTTTAATTTCCTTCCATAACACTATTTGTATGTGCATCCTTTCATTTGCTGTTCTGACCATGTTTTCTTTACCTGAATTGTGATGTGATCTGAATATTAAAATTCATAAGGGAAAGCATCAAACTTGTGATCCAAGGGCTGCTAATTATGTAATAATGTAATAAATTTCTTGATGACAGTTGATCATGGATAGTGAGGCTATTGCAGATTTGTCTCTCACTGGTGATTTATAAATCATGGAGTAAAAATCGGTCACTAGCAGACAGATTGGTAGTTACTGGAAAGTTATCCTGGAAAACTGGTTAAAACCAGTCGCTAATATATATGATCAAAAAGTTTTGATATCCGCAAAGACTCCTGACAAACAAACTTGTATAATTTTGTACGAAAAATGTTATTTGTTATAGAAACATATTGTCATGACAAACACAATTCATACTTTAATTACAAACACTGTTTTTGTTTTCATCAGATGTCAGATATTTCTGAAAGGACAACAAGTCAGTGAGCATACAGGCTATGGTAAAAACAAGACACGTAACTTTGCAGCTGTGGACATTCTCTTTCATCTGTATGAAAAAAATGATGTGGTCAGGGTAAGTGTTTGGAATGAGGTTAAATTTGTGTTTATGGTGTAGAGGTGCAATGATTTTATCTAATGCTTTGAAATCTGTTTTTTGGGCGCCGATTCAATTCTGATGTCAAATACAACAATCATAAGTTGTAGGGGACTGATATACTGGTCAGTCTTTGTACCCCAAGACTACCTCAAGACCTAGACTAAAAGTTTTCCAATTTACACAATATATAAGTTTCTTTGGGTGTTTTAGGGTTGTCTTGGGGTAAATTTACAGACCCCTAATATTCCCTAGATTTGTAGTCACTTTGACAGCACATTTATAACAATGAATGTTTGTTAGTTTTTGTCTTTCTAGCAAGAAATGTATTGTGTTGAAGTTTTATCTTATCCTTGTTACCTAAATGTAGTTGGTTTAAGTTTCATTCCCCCAAAAATGTGAATTTCTATCATATTCGGAATTACTCTGGCTTAAAGTTGGTCATTAAGATGTCATTTTATTGTACCTTGTGCCTTCTTGACCCATACTCTGACAGTGTCAGAGAGGCTCTCTTTTCTGGGTACATTAAAAGTTAAAAGCATGTTACATAGTAGTGTCAGTATTAGTGAAAAATAAAATCAAACCAATGAATTCTTTGTATGCTTGCATTCATACAAAACTGTTGATATATATTTTAGATTGTAAAGCTGAATGATGAGGAAAGGTGGATTCCGTTCTCTATCATAGAGCAAGAAGCTATGATTTTGAGAAGGGCTGCCAAGGATCCTATGCCCACTCCTCCTAAAGATATACTTGACAGACGACCAGCGGATAAACACATTGTCAATGCTGTAAGAAACAGAATTGACAAGTTTTTCCCGCGTAATAATGCCGACGAACTTCTTATTGGGCCGGGAATGCAGCAGGCTGAACTGGGTGAAATACGAGCTTACGTGCAGTCACTTGGCCTGAGGTTTGACCAGAGACAACGTGACGGCAACACATATTATATCATTTATAGCAAACAAGATATGAGGGATATAGTAGCTGCATTGAAAAAACTGGGCGGTAATACGTTGTACGGGAAATACAAACTGATTCCGAGGTCTGAATGTCCAAAACACAGTGATGTTCTGAGGTCAACAACTACGCCATCTTACATCATTACATAACTCAATGTGAAATCAATCAAATGCAACTGGTAGTGAGTCAGGCGAGCTTGGTTGCTTAGTGATTGAGCTTTTTTATCTACAAACCTTTTGAAATAATGAACGGACTGTAATTCTGAGACGAAAGTATGTACCATACTTTAATGAAGTGTAAAAAGTTTTATTTACACAGTAACCTTTGATTATTATCCTTATCATTTCCATTTTTGCAATGTCATTTATCATTCAACTACTAAAATGTCAAAACTTACTATGTTCAGTATGATCAGTCATTTTAAATGAATTGAGAAATATAAGTAAGCTGTTATGTTTCTTGAATTTTATTAATGCTTGTCATTTTCCATGCTCATTTTCCATGATTTGTGTGAATGCCTATGTTCTCAAGAAATTTTGTGAATGCCTGAATTGTACAAATGTCTTTGTCCACTTGTGAAAGCCTATGTCCTTTCGAACATTGTGTAAAATGCCATCAAATGTCAAGAATTGTGTAAATGCATAATTATGTTCTGTGTATGAAACATTTTGCATAATGTATATTTTTTTGGTATGGTGATAATAAATAGTAAAAAGAGTCTGTTTGTGAATTATTCTTTAAAAGAATAATTGTTGTGTGATTGTACATTTTATGATCTGTATCTTGTAAAAAAAAGATCGAAAGAACAATCTTTTGTTGTTATGGTATATTCCACTTAGAATTGTATTGTACTGTTTTTTCTGGAGTTGCATTCAATAATGATAAAGCTATATATTTCTAAAAGATCATGTATTGTCAAGTTAATACATTACGTTGTCTTAAACATAAATATTTAACTCTCGAAGTCACTGATAATTTTGTTAGAATATTTGCGGGAATTTTAGTGAGTCACGTGGATTATTATGTCTCCCCCACCTCGGGGGGAGACATATTGTTTTTGCCCTGTCCGTCCGTCAGTCCGTCCGTCCGTCCGTCAGTCCGTCCGTCCATTCTTCGTTTCCGGACGATAACTAGAGTTCCTTTTGACCTACAGCCCTCAAACTTCATAGGATGATTGGTCTTATAGAGCTGATGATCCCTATTATTTTTTGGGTCAGTAGGTCAAAGGTCAAGGTCACACTGACCGTTGGTCAATTTCTCGTTTCCGGATGATAACTAGAGTTCCTTAGACCTACAGACCTCAAACTTCATAGGATGATTGGGTCTTATTGAGCAGATGATCCCTATTGTTTTTGGGGGTCAGTAGTTCAAAGGTCAAGGTCACAGTGACCGTTGGTCAATTTCTTGTTTCCGGATGATAACTAGAGTTCCTTTTGACCTACAGCCCTCAAACTTCATAGGATGATTGGTCTTATAGAGCAGATGATCCCTATTGTTTTTGGGGTCAGTAGGTCAAAGGTCAAGGTCACAGTGACCGTTGGTCAATTTCTCATTTCCGGATGATAACTAGAGTTCCTTTTGACCTACAACCCTCAAACTGGGGGAGACATATTGTTTTTGCCCTGTCCGTCCATCCGTCCGTCAGTCCGTCCGTCCATTCTTCGTTTCCGGACGATAACTAGAGTTCCTTTTGACCTACAGCCCTCAAACTTCATAGGATGATTGGTCTTATAGAGCTGATGATCCCTATTGTTTTTGGGGTCAGTAGGTCAAAGGTCAAGGTCACACTGACCGTTGGTCAATTTCTCGTTTCCGGATGATAACTAGAGTTCCTTTAGACCTACAGACCTCAAACTTCATAGGATGATTGGTCTTATTGAGCAGATGATCCCTATTGTTTTTGGGGTCAGTAGTTCAAAGGTCAAGGTCACAGTGACCGTTGGTCAATTTCTCGTTTCCGGATGATAACTAGAGTTCCTTTTGACCTACAGCCCTCAAACTTCATAGGATGATTGGTCTTATAGAGCAGATGATCCCTATTGTTTTTGGGGTCAGTAGGTCAAAGGTCAAGGTCACAGTGACCGTTGGTCAATTTCTCATTTCCGGATGATAACTAGAGTTCCTTTTGACCTACAACCCTCAAACTGGGGGGAGACAAATTGTTTTTGCCCTGTCCGTCCGTCAGTCCGTCCGTTCGTCATTCCGTCAGTCCGTCCGTCCATTCTTCGTTTCCGGACGATAACTAGAGTTCCTTTGACCTACAGCTCTCAAACTTCATAGGATGAATGGTCTTATTGAGCAGATGATCCCTATTGTTTTTGGGGTCAGTAGTTCAAAGGTCAAGGTCACAGTGACCGTTGGTCAATTTCTCGTTTCCGGATGATAACTAGAGTTCCTTTTGACCTACAGCCCTCAAACTTCATAGGATGATTGGTCTTATAGAGCTGATGATCCCTATTGTTTTTGGGGTCAGTAGGTCAAAGGTCAAGGTCACACTGACCGTTGGTCAATTTCTCGTTTCCGGATGATAACTAGAGTTCCTTTAGACCTACAGACCTCAAACTTCATAGGATGATTGGTCTTTATTGAGCAGATGATCCCTATTGTTTTGGGGTCAGTAGTTCAAAGGTCAAGGTCACAGTGACCGTTGGTCAATTTCTCGTTTCCGGATGATAACTAGAGTTCCTTTTGACCTACAGCCCTCAAACTTCATAGGATGATTGGTCTTATAGAGCAGATGATCCCTATTGTTTTTGGGTCAGTAGGTCAAAGGTCAAGGTCACAGTGACCGTTGGTCAATTTTCTCATTTCCGGATGATAACTAGAGTTCCTTTGACCTACAACCCTCAAACTTCATAGGATGATTGGTCTTATTAATCAACCTTGTATATAAAACCTCCGTCATTGCCGATTAACTTGTTCCTTCAAAAAGCTTACCCTTGTCTTGGAAAATTCACCAACAGAAAACTGCATAGTTCTAGAGACTTCAACATTGACCTCATTCAATATTTAGAACATCCATTGACCCACACTATGTTACGACATCGCTTTAAAACAAATAATAAACAAGGCTACTACAGCTCACAACACACTTATTGACCATATCTACCAGAGAGGCTTGATTGTGAAAACGAGTGGAGTCATCCCAACACACTACAGTTATCATGATTTGACATACATTGAAATTTGAGTTGTCTTTCAATAGTGTAAAAAATCTGACAATATGAACGTTTGTTTCAAGTATCATCAAAATCCTTCAAAGGTTGAAGAGTTATGGAGCAGACACAATTTCCTTTAATTTCGTTTGTGAAACTATATATGATATGACATTCAAGTGTCAAGTAGACCTTGACCTTGGAACCAGCCATACGAAACATGTACTCTACACGTTCTCTGGATGTGGTGAATTTTTGTTTCAAGTATCTACCAGAGAGGCTTCATTGTGAAAACGAGTGGAGTCATCCCAACACACTACAGTTATCATGATTTTACATACATTGTAATTTGAGTTGTCTTTCAATAGTGTAAAAAAATCTGACAATATGAACGTTTGTTTCAAGTATCATCAAAATCCTTTAAAGGTTTGAAGAATTATGGAGCAGACACAATTTCATTTAATTTCATTTGTGAAACTATATATGATATGACCATCAAGTGCAATTTCGTTTGACGCCCGCCTGCCATACGCTGATTGAATAACCAGGATTTTCAAAATTGAATACCTGGTTAAAAACAAACAGTTTAGGAAGCATCTTCTCATACAACCTTAACAATAGAAACCATCCATAGACAGCCTTCATTGAAGTGACTACCGGGTATTTACATTATCTTATCTCCATTTCCATTCCTGTTTCCATTCACAGTTATTCTCAGCAGTGGGGGAGACATGCGCTTTTTTACAAAAGCATCCTCTAGTTAGTATTCATATGAAGTAAGAACATCAAATTGGAAAAAATACGATGAAATGTCGTGTTAGTTTGATTTTTAGTTTACACTCGTATTCTGATGAGCATATTTCAAGACAGATTAAGATAAACGATTTGAACAAAACGCGAACACAGAAGCACTTTCCAAAACGATAAATGAGTCTTGGAACAATTATCTGAATAAGAAAGAGTCCATGAATGCAAGGAAGAAATTTAGTTACATGTATTCTGGAACATGAATATATAAGAATCAATATCTTATATAGAACTAGAAACAAATCCAAAATATTATAAACCTTTGGGATGTGAGGAATAGAAATAGAAAACCCATTAAAGCGGAAATATTAATGTTGATACTGATAAAAGAGGTGGACCGAGATGAATTTTTTTTTTTAATTAACAGGCTTCATGACCACTTATTTATTAAAGCACTCAAAATGTCATTTTGTTTAGTTCAGACTGACGATTTTTCGGTTATTAAAACCCATTTCTTGTGATGTTCGTGTAATAGAAAGTGTCGCATCAATACATCTGTGGATGCCTCTCGATTAAGAATTAAACCCTTTACTAAAAAACTTAAACTCAAATAATTCTATAACATAAAACATACAATATATGTTTATAGCACAATGGTCAACATATCGATATATGCAAAAGACATGGACTTTTCAAGGAGCATAAAATACAATTCAATGTAAAACAAATGAGTTCATAAGTTTAACATCTGGTCCAACATGATGACCCTAGATTTCAGACACGCAATCTAGAATAAATCAATGGTAAATTTAAGTTGGTTAAAAACAATGAACAAATTATGCTGTGCTGTTCGCTTTTGTGTATATTCCACTGCACCGACAGAAGTTTATGATAGAATTGAACTTGATATTTTTTAAGAAAAAATGAAATAGGAAAACAATGAAGAAACAAAGTTCTGTTGAACGCAGACTTAAGTTGTTAAACTGGAACCGAGCTAGTGCATACTCGTGACCAAAATGATTAGCTAGGGATAGTGTTTTAAAACAAAAATGACTGAATCTGTAAAAACCAATATGAGTTAAAGTTAAAACATAGGTTGATTTAAAAAATGCCCATCACGTGATGATTTCACAAAAATGTTTTAAAAAACCCATACAACCATCTTTATTTCGCAGTAAGAATCGGCATGAACCTGAATTATAAGAAGCATGTATTTTGGGAATCATACAATTTTATGTGGCAAGATTTATGGTACCAACATAAATAACAATATTTTATATGTCAAAACAAACAATATGCAGCTGAATGCTAAACAATGAATTTTGCATCGGTGATGATAAGCTTTTACCTCCAAAATGTTCGATGATACTATAAATCTTCATATGCATTGACCAATTAATTTACTATGTGTGGTCAATTTTGCTTGACTACTACTTTCGTGATGTTGTCTTGGGTCTTTATTTTTGCATTTAGGGGAGCGTGAATAATTTTGTTACGAGATGATGAGTTCCTCAGGAATTTTACCTTCTTCATGCTTATTGTTCCGTTTATTGGTTTATTATCAATGTGAGGTATATTTTTAACATTTAATGAAACTTCCAGTGTAGATCTAATTTATATCCATTTTCGGTGTCTAATATTGTACTCGTATTTAAAGCCCGTTCAATAATGATTTATAATAGGAACTATTTTACATTTCTGTCCTTTGTTGAGATTTAGATTATATTGATTATACATTTATTTGCATTAATTACTTGCAAAATATTATATTTTACTTTTGGGGCAGCCGTGGCCGAGTGAAAAATGTCGTTTACTTCA